CCCCAAAACCCCAAAACCCCTTGCTTCTATAATTCAAGATTTTCTTGAATATTGAGAAAAAAAAAATAATTTGAATTTATATGCTTTAATTAAATTCAAGGTTTTTTCAAACCTTTTCCTTGAATAATCAATTCTTATTTTTATATCAAATCCTACTATTCCTTAACGTAGGGAGATTCAAATATTAGTTTGTAATCACCGGTATCGGCATTCTTGTCTTATTTCCAATCAATAATCACTTTTACCATATCATTTAACATCTTTGGAATAAGATTACTTGTGACTTTAGTAGAGTGCTCCATTGTTGGACACTTATTTATCTCAAGCAACCACATTTTACAGTCATCATCAATAATCACATCATACCCGTACAGCCCAATAGCATTTTTACGCCACTCTACTTTTTCCCAGGCAGTTGTAAGACTAATTTTGATTATTTCCTCCAGTTATGGCTAAAAAAATTCATTCCAGACATCATTGTAGAAACAATCTTCTCCAAAATATTTGTGCTATCTCTTGTTTATAAAGTTTTTGAAATCAGACAAGCCCCACATATTTTCTGGGAAACTATCGATATGATCTTTTTTGGGTTAGAAATTTTTACTAACTGAATTGTTTGTTAAATGAATAAATAGATTCTTAATGTTTTAAGAATCATAGTCAACAGCAGAAAATCTGAAATAGCATTCCTGGTAAAGAAATATCTAGAGAGGGTTCCAACATGCCACTAATACCCAAGCTCTTATATCAAATTTTCTGTTTCTAATTAGCAATGGATTCTCCATATACTTTTGTACTACCCAAGATTTACTCCCAAAACTAGAAATCTATTTGTCCTCGTTATTATTAATTGTTGTAGTTATCTCAGCATAATTTGTGATATCTGTGAACTAGTCAAATATTTTAATGTTTCTCCCTCTGCTTAATCCTCCTGGCTTCACAATCCATACATTTTAAAAACCATTTAAATTGGTTTAAGGGTAATTATATCTCAACTATCTAATTAATTCCTTACAGTAGTGATAAAGATTTTCAAGATATTACTGTAATTATTCATTTAGTTCAGATTAAAGTCCTTTTTTTTATTTCAACTTTTTGAATTAAGGGAATTGATTCGAAATTTTACTATACCAATCCTCTTTCCTTATATGTTGAAGATAATTTTTAGGATAGTCTGCCTTTGAGAGAAACAGCACTTCATCATTTAAAATACTTTGGCCTGTATACATCACTCCCTTTTACTCGATAACTAGATCAATATTAGCAATTCTTCTATTGACTATGCTCATTGAAACTAATAGTTTCTCTGTAAGGAATTCAGCCTATATCTTCTGATAATCATCCTTATTTTTTTCAAATGATTTATTAAATTACTTCACATAGCCTTCTGCATAGGTAAACCAAAAGTAATTTTGAAATTCTTAAAAGTCTCTTCCGCTAGTAAGTACAAAACTCTAAGGATAAAATGCATCAATTCCTTTATTAATATTTTGAATTGGATACTCTTTGCCTTTTATTATTTCTTCTTGATCATCCCTTTCAACAACCTTATCTTAATAAACTTGATTCATGCAATGCCATTGAATCCAAAACTCAGGAGAATCGTTAAGTGATTCAATAAGTCCACTTTTGCAAGTAATGCTACCTTCTCCTCTATTATGATTTACGAGACAGTTATTTTTCATAATAGGATACATTATATCTTAAGAGTTCAATGAAAATTTCAAGTCAATATGAGGGCTATTTTTGTTTGTTTCTTCTCTCCATCCTCTTTCTAATAGGCATTTTCGAACATCCGGGTATGCAATCAGTAGCAGAAAGACACCTTTTCGCTCTTTTTTAAGTAAATCTGACTCTGAATGCTTTAAGATTTTCTATGAGCTCTTTTGACTTTGTACCTATTAGTCCTCATAAATTTATTCTAATTATTTATCTCTTACATTATCCTCAATGTTCTTAAGATTTATATTCTTTTCTGGTGTTGAAGGCATCTTTTTGTAAGAAATTATTGAAAATGGATTGACAAGCTACTAATTCTAGCTTACAATAGGAATAATAGATGCGTTTATGGATGGCAGAATTACTCTATTTGAGCTTTAATTCCTTTTTTAATCCTCAAGTTGACTGACACTACTTTTTATCTTCTTATTTTTGACAAACTTAGGAAACTTATTTGAAGATTTCCCATAGATATTAACAACTGGAGCCAAAAATGGAGATTTAAAACTAGTAAAACTCTCCTTTTTTAATCTGAATGGTGTCTTTGAGTTTGCATTCCGTTTTGATTACTTTTTAATCATTTCAAATCTTGATTCTTTAAGAGACTTATAATTTAAGTCATTAGTAGTATCTCTTATTTGATTTTATTATAAATTTTCATTCTCATTTTCCCCTGATTTATGGAGAATGAATACTTTATTGTATTCTTCTATAGGTTGATGATCCCCATATTCTTAATGAATATGATTTCGAGTAGCACTCATCAGTCTGAGTGTATCGATATGATTCATGTTTTCATCACAGTTTAACTGATATTCGTTTTCCATTTTAATAATTTAACTACTTAAAGTCGTTCATTTCATAAGGGGGTTTTGGGGTTTTGGGGTTTTGGGG